GGATTGGGAGAATGTCATGTGGTCAGATGAAACCAAAGTAGAACTTTTTGGTATAAACTCAACTCGTCGTGTTTGGAGGAAGAAGAATACTGAGTTGCATTCCAAGAACACCATACCTACTGTGAAGCATGGGGGTGGGAACATCATGCTTTGGGGCTGTTTTTCTGCTAAGGGGACAGGACGACTGATCCGTGTTAAGGACAGAATGAATGGGGCCATGTATCGTGAGATTCTGAGCCAAAACCTCCTTCCATCAGTGAGAGCTTTGAAGATGAAACGTGGCTGGGTCTTCTAACACGACAATGATCCCAAACACACCGCCCGGGCAACAAAGGAGTGGCTCCTTAAGAAGCATTTGAAAGTCCTGGAGTGGCCTAGCCAGTCTCCAGACCTCAACCCCATAGAAAATCTGTGGAGGGAGTTGAAAGTCCGTGTTGCTCGGCGACAGCCCCAAAACATCACTGCTCTTGAGAAGATCTGCATGGACGAATGGGCCAAAATACCAGCTACTGTGTGTGCAAACCTGGTAAAGACCTATAGTAATCGTTTGACCTCTGTTATTGCCAACAAATGTTATGTTACAAAGTATTGAATTTGTTATTGACCAAATACTTATTTTCCACCCTGATTTACAAATAAATTCTTTAAAAATCCTGCCATGTGAATTCATGGATTATTTTATCACATTCAGTCTCTCACAGTTGAAGTGTACCTATGATGAAAATTACTGACCTCTGTCATCATTTTAAGTGGGAGAACTTGCACAATCGGTGGCTGACTAAATACTTTTTTGCCCCACTGTATATATATATATATATACATACATCTACATATATAAGGGCTGCACGATGTTAGGAAAACCTGCGATATTCGATAACAGTGCTTAATATTGCGATATCGATATTACTCACGATAAATGAACAAATACTAAAGTATGCAGTGTTGATGTCGTCTGGCGTGTGACGTCTGCTCTGGGTTCAAAGCAAACAAAAACTAATGCATGAATTCCATTACAACATAACATTTTTATTGCAAACATATGCAGCTGCACCTGCTACTGTATTAGCAGCTGTACCTGTTACTGTATTAGCAGCTGCACCTGCTACTGTATTAGCAGCTGTACCTGCTACTGTATTAGCAGCTGCACCTGCTACTGTATTAGCAGCTGCACCTGCTACTGTATTAGCAGCTGCACCTGCTACTGTATTAGCAGCTGCACCTGCTACTGTATTAGCATCTGCTACTGTATTAGCAGCTGCACCTGCTACTGTATTAGCAGCTGCACCTACTGCTGTATTAGCAGCTGCACCTGCTACTGTATTAGCAGCTGCACCTGCTACTGTATTAGCAGCTGCTACTGCATTAGCAGCTGCACCTGCTACTGTATTAGCAGCTGCACCTGCTACTGTATTAGCAGCTGCACCTGCTACTGTATTAGCAGCTGCACCCGCTACTGAATTAGCAGCTGCACCCGCTACTGTATTAGCAGCTGCACCTGCTACTGTATTAGCAGCAAAATAACAAACTGCATGCATGCAGTTTCTCAGTGACTTTAAAACATCACCTCCACCATAAAACTTTTTCTGATGCTCCAAATACAGAAAAACATCCCTTACCAGGGTTTTTTGAATAAATATGTTTAAATGTTAAATTATAGTTAACATCACTTAAATGCAACAGCAAATTCTCTCATTGCTACTGAACATTTTCTCCACTTATGTGGTTATGATATAAGGCTGTTGCTGTATTTGGGAAGTGAACTGTGCTGGGCCAAACTAGGAGAACATTAAGATTTTCTGAGGGAAAGAGAAAAATAATTGTCTACCTTTCAGAAGAGGAACTGGCAAAAAAAAACTACATGGAAAATATGTGAAAACGTTTGTTTTTAACCCCAAATTGAACAAGTTTACCTAGATCTTAAAAAGCAGCTCAGATGATGAAACTGCAACTATGATGCTGCTAGCAAATTGAACTAGCTCCTCTTAAGATAACCGGTGTAACGTGAGGAAATATGGGTTTTCTGTGCCAAAGGTCATTTGACTCGGCTGGGTCAAGAGCTGGGTCGCTGAGAACTTTCACCCACAGATTAAGACCTGAACGCCAGCGAGTCTGGGAGAAACCATAACATCTGAACACCTGCAGTGCCAGAAGATGTTGTTCCCATAAATGTAGTCATAACATAACAAGTCTTAAACTTCCTTTTCTTTATTTTAATGTTAAAGAATAATCATTATCAATTTGCTCATTATAAATGTGTTTAATCAAATGAATGATTATTATGCTTTGGGTAGTCATAACTAGAATGAATCCATACTTAATTAAATAATGTTTGAGGATGTTTGGGGATGACCTTCACACTCGCTCACACACATCTGCATTCACAGTAAACTCCAAAACACATTTGCTCTGACGCACACGTTTTGCTTTGAGAAGAGAACTGGGTTTGGTAAGTTTCAGTCTGATAGTTCAGTTCGAGTTTGACAACGAAAGAGGGAGGACTTGTAACAACGCCAACGGGGAACGGAGCTGCGGCTCCTTTCTTTCGCCCCCCTCACGCTATTCCGGTCAAGCCAGACAGGAATAGCTGAATTGCAACCGCTAACGCAGACTCGTCCAGAGTCTTTGATTTTCTGAGTAATTAAACTTAAGAAAGCGCATCTGCAAACGCTTCATCATCACGTGTACCGAGGTCATCTCTAGACCGGGTCGCAGCACACCTTCGTCTTCTCTGCCAGCCGAGGTGTCACCCCTGGATGAAACATCGTCCTTTGACGTCCCGGGTCTAAAAGGAGGGTCCGAATACGGTGAGGCAGTCCACGAGAGATAGCGTCTGATGCATCTTTTCCAACAAAACCTAAGTTTATTCAAACCATCACACTGAAGCAAAATCAGATGCACACACGCACTCATCTCACCTTATTCTCAATTTTCACTCCATTTTGCACACACACGCATCCATAATCACATCACATCACTCACAATCTTCAGCACCTCCAACACAAGGTCTATTTGAGCAAGTTTACAATATCAACTGTTAAAGATTGTTCAACAAAGTTGCCAATGTTGATTGTTGTTTCCTCTGCTTGTTATGTCAAAATCATTAGTTTAATTTGAAGAATTAAATCTTTTAACTTTCAACTTGTCTCTTCATTGAACTGAAACACAGACCCACGGATATTATCGACAGTTTATCGATGAAAACAACCTTTGAGTCTTCTTAAAACTATAAAATATGTAGGATGGTTCCTCTTTCATAAAAGAGCATAAATCATTACTCTACATAATTAAAAGAGCCTAATCAGGTTCACTACACCGGCTAGCAGAGCTTCTGACTGACAGTTTGTGTGCAGCAGCAAATCAACTATCCTGATTAACAAGGTTACAAAAGCTCATAAATGAAAAATCACTTTGATGTGTGGGGGAACTTTTCCAGGCCCTCTTTAGCAGGGTGGGACTGGGAGGAGAGTGCTGTAGCCTTTTAGCTGGAAGCTAACCGGAGCCAGGGGCTAACGGTGGGTTGGTTCACCGGCACATGTCGGAGTCAGCCCGGTAAAAATGATCAACGACACCGAGCGGAGTCACGCTCACGTTTGAAAGCAGCGCTGATTCCAGAAACCTCAGCACAAAGTGCGTTTGTTGTTCTGAGCCAGCATGACGAACAAGGGAACGGCGCCGCTAACTCTGTTCGGGTGTTGCTTTCCAAAAGGGTCTATGTAGGGGGCGGGCGTATTACGTGAACGGGGCCATCTGATTGGCCGCATATCAGAGGGACTACATTTGATTGGTGAAATAATACTTCCGCGTAAAAAACAGAGCTGATTTACAAAAAGCTGATGCATGACACGGATGGAAATGTTTGAACCAAACATTTATCGCCGTTTTTGCCGTGTTTGCGACGGGCCTATCGCACGTCCTGTTATCGCGATGACGATAATTTTTCGATATATTGTGCAGCCCTAATATATATGTATGTATATATATAATATATAATATATATGTATGTATATATATAATATATAATATATATGTATGTATATATATAATATATAATATATATGTATGTATATAATATATAATATATGTATGTATGTATGTATGTATACACACTTTAAGGCTAGTCGCGACACCTGTGGATGATTGGCAGCATATTTACACCAGAAAAGTGCGTTGTTGTCTCTTTTACTAACAGGCTCCAAACAGCTCCGGCTCGGACCTGCATCTGTCCTGTCACCTTTTGATTGCCTCATCAGTGGTCACATGATCTCCTTTCTTCTCCGTTCTCCGTTTTCTTCAAACTCAAAGTACTATGTTTTTTTTAACCAAGTCAGTTGGTGCCTGACCTGCCATTTTTCTCCCCGTCTCTCGGTGCGTCTCCTTCGCTGTGTCGCGTGATGATGTTATAAATTTTATGGAACAGCTCTAAACGTTGGACAAAGCATTTGTTTTATACATGAAATGAGTTTTATTTATCTTTATTGGTGTATTTTTGTTTTTTATTATTTTAATACTTGTCTCTTAAGTGCACGGCTTTATTTCATGATGGTATTGGAACTGATAGTTACTATTTTTAAACACAGCATGTATACGGTATTACCGCAACACTGCCCAAGCCTAATGCCGACCCAGGTCAGCCATGGGAATCTCAAGGAAGCGCGAACTGGAAAGTAAGGGGGGGGGGGGGGGGGGGGAATACCGAAGTGTGTTTTTGGGAAACGCAGCGAGGCCGAACTGCGCCGATCTGAGAGAAGCTGAGTATTGCTGTTTTTAGTGCAGTATTTCTGTTAAGGGTTTTTACTTCAATTACAAATAATTTCTGCATTTCTATTTCAAAGTTTGTATTAAAACGACTTTCTTCCTCTGGATAAAAAAAACCCTTTTATTTAATTTATTTTAAATACATTTTATTTATTACATGTAAAGCAGGCAAATTAAGCTCTTTTTAAAACTCATTTTAACTTATATTTACTTAATAGCTCATTATCACCATTTTCTGATTCCAGGACCTCCTCACAAGACACAAGATCCTGAGTGCAGAGTTTCTGGAGCAACATTATGACAGAGTAAGTCCACCTTAGATCAGACCTTAGACCTTGGGAAGTGGGTTCCACAGAAACACGTTTGGGTGGATTTCAGTTTTTAATGTAGTCCTACCTAGAAAGACGTGTGGTCTTACCTTACTGCATGTAACTTAGACCCTTTTGATGGTTTCTAATCTATGATGTGAAAAAGCTATTAGAACTGTTCAACGCTTAAAAACATTCTGTATCTTTCAAAAATCAATAGGTTCCTTCCAAAAGTCATTTTTTTTCTGAATACCAGCTGATTGGCTTTTCCAGGTCTGCACAGAGAGCTGCAGACTGCAAAACTTCAGGCGCGGGTATGATTTGAGCGTTTATCCGTAACACAGTAAGTGTGAGAAGCTCTTTGCCAGCTGTGTCTTCATCACTGCGGTCACAGTTAACCTTTTCTGATGGTATCAGAACAATGTGGTTGGGAAGATTTCATTTGTAAGACATGTAAATGATTTTATCAGGATATTAAAGTAGCGTTCAGATTCATGCACTGCCATTCCTGCAGTGCCCCTCTTCAACAGTAGGTGTCGCCACTGGGAAAATATTACAGCTGCCTGAATGGTAGCAGGAGCAGAGATAACAGAAAGCACATTCCTAAAATAAAAACATCACTTAAAAGGGTGGGGGTTAAAATAGTTGGACTTTTTAGGGAAAGCGTTAAAAGAAATGCTGTTGCTACTTCCAAACACCGTACGGGAGCCTAAGTCTCCTCCCTCTCCGCTCGGCTCATGGGTCCCCGGAAGAAGGAAACAATGAATGCAAGAGAATGGAGCTAAAAAAGCTATTTTCTAATCCGCTTTGCCTTAAGCCCTGAATCACACATACGTTGCACTGCAATTTAAATAAAAAATAATGTTTCGACCATACCAGTCATGTACTTAGAGAGTTATCAGCAGTAAAAATTCGTAATTACTATGACTACAAATCAGACGTCGGCACATTGAATACGTCGTCACCACAACATCTCCTCTGCTCTGCTGCTTTCCACATGGCCAGATTTATGGCGGTTCTTTTATCCTGAAGTGTAATTTTGGTTAAGGGTATGTGTCTTTAACTCATTCACTGCCAATGATGACTAAAGTCATCATTTGCATTTTTTTACTGTGTGGGCGTCGGAACGAGCCCCGCGCCGAGAGAACAAACATCTCAGCTCTGAAGCCGATCGTCATCACTCTCTAATTTCCCTCTGGGATTAATAAAGTATCTTTGAATTTAATTGAAATCCGCGTACGTCACACTGTAAAAAAAGTGAGGCGTGAACCGGAAAAGCTTCTGCTGATCACAATTCAACAACGGATTACGAAAGAAGGCGCTATATCAAATACAGGCCATTTACCATTTTACCATTTGGCCGCGCTCGGGAGCTATTTGGTGGTTTAGCCCTCCAATCCAACCCCTTAACTCATTCACTGCCAGCCGTTTCCTGATCGCTAACGGCCTTCGCTGCCAGCGTTTCTCACCGTTTTTACTGTTTTTTTAAGAGTCACAGAACGTTGCGCGCTAGCATGATGTCGATGCCAAAACAACCTAAACAAAGAGGAGACTCACCTCTTGCATCAGGAAGAAGCCGCGTGTTTCGAGCGTTATCCGTTCTTTCATAATCCGTTGTTGAATTGTGATCGGCAGATGCTTCTCCAGTTCGCGCCTCACTTTTTTTACAGGAACGGCCCAAAACGATCTCCAAACACATGGATGGTCTGCTTCCTGATCATGTGATCTGTGACGTATGCGGATGAAGATCGGCTTCAGGGCTGAGATGCTTGTTCTATCAGCGCGGGGGCTCGTTCCAATGCTCAAACAGTAAAAAAATGCAAATGACGACTTTAGTCGTCATTGGCAGTGAACGGTTGGATCTAAAATGACGACTTTAGTCGTCAATGGCAGTGAATGAGTTAAGGCTGAGTGTCAAGCAGGGAGGCATTGGGTCCCATTTTTTGATCTTTGGTATGACCTGACCAGGATTTGAACCCCGATGTCCCCGTCCCAGGGAGGACATTCTACCACTATGCTACTGCGAAGGTTGCAGGTAAAACAGCAGGTTACTGAATTGTATTCGGGCCCGGATGTAGCCATGGGCAAGGAGGGGCAATGCCCCTCTAAAAATAGTGATTGTCCCCCCAAATGCGATGACATGTAGAAATCTCAAATTTGGAAAGATCTGATGAAAAAGGGTCAGAGTGCTCTCTCTCTCGCTCTCTCTCTCTCTCTCTCTCTCTCTCTCTCTCTCTCTCAAAGTAGCTGCTGATTGGTAGATGCATAGGGAGGGTGTGGCCAGTCACTGCACTTCGTTCTCTGTGTCTCACTCAGTGTTGCCAACTCAGCGACTTTGTCACTGTTCCTAACGACTTTTTGACCCCCCTCAACGACTTTTTTTCCAAAAAGCGCCTAGCGACAAACTTAGCGACATTTCTCAGGACCCGTTGCTACTTTCTGTAGAACTTTCATGTAGATATTCCCTACAGATTAGCAACAAAGAAACCATTTGCACTCTGAACCGTTCTTCCGGGAGTAAGGAAAGAGAACGATACTCTGCACATGTGCACGAGGACTGACCAATCATAAACCGTTTTCGGCCGGGCTGATTTGCTGAAGACAGAGTACAGCTGCAGAGCTGGAGACCGCCGATTTACGTCTGCTGCTTTCATATTGCTGCAGGCTCACGCTTCTACTAGAGACGGCGCGGGCGTCAACCTGCCATCTCTGGTTCTGCAGCCGTCAGACACTTTGGCTTTTCCTGCATTTGGCAAATAAAGTCATCGGGAGTTTCAACTACCGTCCCGTTTACACACGCAGCTCTGTGGCTCATCTGAATTTCCTTCAGAGACACAGGGATGGTTATACTATGAGACACCCGCTCCCTTTTGCTCGGTGCGCCGTTATTATCACGATGGAGAGAATACACAACAGAGAAGTTGAGAAACTATGAGGTGTAAAAAACAGCTTTTTAGGAACATGTCTGTGAGAATGAGGAGAGCAGCAGGTCTGAGTTATATCCTACAACAGAACTGTTTGGATCACCACACCATATCTGTCTTAATGCCACTTTATTGGTAGTTTTGGAATTTATTGTACATATCAAAGCAATTTGGGCTATTTTAATCATACTAATTAATAACTGTAACATATAACATAGTTTTTATTTTCCTCCCTTTTAGTCCTAATATATATATATATATATATATATATATATATATTAGATACTATGGGGAAAACGAACGCTAATGTGGCGTGATGACGTCACAAATATGTAAATTAGCATGTGACGTCATCTGCCGACATCTAGTGACTTTTGGGGGGAACTTCAACTACTTTCAGTCAAAAACAGTTGGCAACACTGGTCTCACTCGCTTCACACGCCTCAGACAGTCAGCAGCAGAACAGAGACGAACCGTTGTTATCTGAGCTCAGCCACTGGTTACAGTCTTCTTCTGCTGTCGGTCACTGGAATTATTTGGTTACTCTTTCTCAAGGTTTTAGTTTGCCTCTTCTTTAATTTGTTTTTGAAGTGAACCGAGTCGACATCCGCAGATTTCTGGTTTCCAAACCTAGCAACAGTGCTAAGACACTAGCGGCAGTAGCCGGCTCGTCGGGCGCTGCTTCTCAACTCGCCACAACCCCCCCCCTGTGTCCAGGGTAGTACTGGAACAACCAGTTTCACAAGAACCGCAGCCCCTCCTGCCTTCCCCGTCGCTACCAACCCAGCCGTCGCTGTGGGTGACACAGGTCTGAACAGTGGCGCACCGTCCCAACCCACCGCTCTTGTTTTCCCCAAGCGCCATTTTGGGAAGAGCATGCGCTCATTTTGCCCTGCCTGGTATCGTGGGAGACCATGGCTGGAATATTCAGTAAAGCTGGATGCGTGCTTTTGTTTCCCATGTCGTAAGTTTGGGGGGAACGATGATGGGGATTTGGTTTTCACAAAACAAGGATTCAATAATTAGAAAACCGCACTGGAAAAGGACATGGGATTCACAAAGCATGCATCAAGTCAATGCCACATAAAAAATGAAAAAGCTGGTCTGAAATGTCCCAAAGAGTTGCCACAGGGGAAACCATAGGTAGTTTAATAAGTCCCACACAAATCGAAAAAAACAGATACTGCATAAAAACTATTGGAGAAGTAGTTCAGTTCCTAGCAGTAAATGAACTAGTGTGGACAGCTCCAGTGGTGATGATTTCTCTGCAGGACTCTTCTTAAAAACGGTCGACTACAAACTGGCCAAAGACTCCAAATGTAATGAAATAAACAAACGCATCCCAGAAAGTGTAAAATACACATCTCACAACATACAAAACAAATTACTGCAACACTGGTGAAAATGGTACTAAAAAGATAAAGAATAATTATGACAAAGCAGATTGTGCTGGGGTTTGCATTAAAAAGTGATGGAACTAGGGACAGATGTAGAGAATCAGTCAGTCATGGTTAGATTTGTCTGTAATGGCCTCCGAGAGGAACACCTGATCGGTCTGCTTGACCTCAGTCAGTTAGATGCTGAATTCATTACCACCCAAATTCTTGAGCACCTCTCTGACTCAGGCTATAGTGCAGCTGAAATGATCACTCAGTGCTATGATGGAGCTTCTGTCATGGGTGGGGTTCAGGCCTTACTGCAGAAGAAGGTAGGGAAGGATGTTCTCTACATCCACTGCTACAACCACCAGCTGCACTTGGCAGTGGTCCATGCAATGAAGGCAGAGCCATGTGCAAAAACCTTTTTTGATCTTTCAGGATCTCTACACTCATTTTTCCACCGTCATCATGTTTCACAGAACTATGATGTTCCCTCCCTCCCTGAAACAACTGTTGTAGATCAGGTGGACAAGCCACCATGATGTGATCTAGTGCCTTGTGGAGAATAAGGTTGCTATCATGAGTATCCTGTCAGAGGTTACAGAGGACAGAGCTGCTGCTGTTGATATCTGTACAGAGGCATCAGGACTGCTGATGATGTTAAGGAGGCACAATTTCTTTGAAATAGGAAAAT